GTTTAACTTGATCAAACTGATCTTGTGCATTGATATTGATCGCTGACATCTCGACTTCTTCTGAATGAGAATCTGGTGATCATTAGAAGTGATCAATTCTTTCAGAAGATCTTACCACTCGATGACTTACAAGTTATGCATTCTGATGGCGCTACGAAACAAGGAATTCTAGAAATGTTTGATTCATTCCTCAAACCAGCTGGTAGCACCGCAATGAAACCGGAAAAAGATTCTGTTTCTACGGTCTCCAACATTCCGACGTCGAACATCCGCACATCAAAGAATCCCATGGCCAATTCATCCACAAACAACTCCTCCACGTCACTATCATCACCACAAACGAGTGGTGCACTCAAGAATAGTTTCACGCCAATACGGGCAATCAACAGTGAAACGTTGAAAACCGATGGTGGACATAACCATGATCAAAAACCGCAGCAACAATTCCTGATGAAAAAAGTTGAAGCGATACATAAACCAGAACTGTCTCATAATGAAGTGAATACTCCACAAACGGGCCTGTCAGGGGCTCGAAAGCCATTACCTATTGTGAAACCACTGTCTGAAAGTAAACCTGGAGCATTAAGCAAGCCAATTCCTGAGGTAGACACCTTGTTCAGCAGAACAAGTCTTCACAAGCTAGGCAGCAGTCGGGATGAGAGGATTCTGAGTCTTGACGATGACGATACTGATGGCAACGCATCTATCGGCGAAGGATTGAAGTTATTCGGGGGTAAATTGGGAGAAGTGAAGAAAACGACTGGTTTGGTTTCAATGGCTATTTCTGATAAAGATAAACTACGCTTGGATGAGGTACCGAATGATCCGAAAAAATCAACCGCTAATGTTGCTGACACAGTCAATGCTCTCAAGAGCCCAGCATTGATAGAATCAGCAACGAACGTGAAGGCAAAAGAATCGAAAACCCCACCAAGGAAAGATTCAGACGGGAGCTCGTCTGAGACAACAAGGTTAATGTTGTAGATGTTGCTCACTTCAACTTTGCTTTTTCTTGAAGGCTGTTCATATCTGGTATTCGAGTCGTGATTATATGATCAAAAAAGTGATCGATTGCCTTGAAACATAATTTTGTTCAGAAATTTTGTGTTGTTAAATCTTGATCTCGCACTTGTTCAATATGCATTCAGTTAGTTCAGTGCCTACAGTACCTCTCTACTGAGCTCTTGAACTGTTGAGATCTCACGATAAGCAGAAATAATGAACATCAGTTGGAATTTTCCACTGAACTTACAAAACAGATCGAAAATTCCAGATTTGTCTTCTTCAAACAAGCCCAGATTGAATTGGCAATTCAAAGTTCGCTTAGCATGACTGGGATTCGTTGAAAATTTCAGTTCGAGTAGTACGACAAGTGACAGTAAAAGTCAAAGCGCTTCACCAAATATTATTCGAAACCCTTCGATGTCGTTGCCTCCACTCAAGAGCACCACATCACTAAACACAACGAATCTTCCGTCAATCCCGACCAAATCGCTGAATCCCATCGCATCATCTGACCCAAACGCTTTCTCGAAACGTCTCAACGCCTTTCTCAAAGTGCATTCAAAGTCTGAGGAGGACAGTGCCGGTAACGTTGTTATCCAAATCACTTTCGTAATGTTCTCCTTGTGGATGTACATGTCTTTCTTCAATGTCTCATTTTTCTTCACATCACGTTTCAATTTTTCCACACCCTGCCCTATACGATAAATGTTGAATTTCGATAACGAATCGCAACTGACATTTAGCACATTATGAAGCGACACGTCAGAGGTCAATATCAAAACTTACCACCATCAGCTGATATTAATCAGCCCAGGGTATTGCGCGGGGAACGGGGAAGTTCAGCGACCCCTACAGTCCTCTCTCCCGACATTTTAAAGTGCGGATGCATTTAGGATCTGAGACGTTTTTTGCTTTAGCTCACAAGTTAAGATCATGATAATGCTGTTTCAGATGAAGTAGAAGAGGAAGAAATCGAAGAGGAAATCAACGTTGACGAGTTACTGCAGTCGAATGGTGAAGATGACAACGACAGTATTTCATTTTAAAGGTTATCGCAAATAAAGTCAAAGTCACATTTTGATTTGAAAATCCCTCTTAATCTGTACACTAACATTATATAACAATGTCACGCAATAAACGAAACTTTGCTTGATCTGTGTGTGTGTGTACAATCCAACGCAGTGTGCATTTGCAAAATTACACTGTATTTATCAGTTATGAAAACTTAATCAGAGACCAGTAATCACATCTGAGTCAGCCAACACTAGCCAGTTCTCGTTCATGTTATTTTGATAGTGTACACGTTCCTTATTCATCAACCATACTGCTTTGTTCAATTGAGTGTTCTGAGTTTCGTATACT